TGCATCGCAGCAGCAGCGTACGGGTAAACAGCAAACGGTGCTGCAGCCACCTGAGGGGCGACCCCCTGCACCTCAATCTCTGCTGCTGCTGCTGCTGGTGCTGCTGCTGCTGTTGCTGCTGCAGGCAGCAGCACTTGCTGCTGCTGCGGCAAGGCATAGACAGGCCCAAGGCCCTGCTGCTGAATTGCTGCTGCCTGCTGCGGCAGCATCATAGGCTGCTGCAGCAGCAGTGTTTGCTGCGGGTGTTGTAGGATATACTGCACTGGCTGCTGCTGCTGCTGCAGCTGCTGCTGCTGCTGCTGCTGCAGCTGCTGCGGTATGATGTACTGTCTCTGCTGCTGCTGCTGCTGGGGAGCAGCTACTGCTGCTGGCTGCTGCTGCACTTCATTGCATACGGTTGTGTTCGGTGCTGCTGCTGCTGCTGCTGCTGCTGGCTGTCCATACACCTGATACACAGGCTGCGGGGCCCCAGCAGCAGCAGCAGCAGCTGCTGCTGCTGCTGCCGCTGCTGCTGCTGCTGCCCCTGCGTCTGCTGGCTTAGGCAGCAGCAGACAGGGGATATGATGCGGCTGTGGTGCTATACAGTGGACCATTGGTCCGTAGAGCATCTGGGGCTGGTGCTGAAGCATCTGCTGCTGCAGTAGCTGCTGCTGTTGCAGCTGCTGCTGCTGCAGCTGCTGCTGCATCTGTTGCTGCAGCTGCTGCTGCAGCTGAGCCACCAGCTCCGGCGGCAGCAGCAAAGTGCCATCGATGTCTATCGTTGTTTTCTTGTCTCTCTCTGTCCGCCTCTCACTGGGCTCTCTGCGGCGCGACATATCCTAAACCCTAAACCCTAAACCCTAAACCCTAAACCCTAGACCCTAAACCCTAAACCCTAAACCCTGGGAGTTTAAATATCACAAAAAGACTGCAAGGCGCAGAGCCCCGCTGTAATGAAGTGCAAGGAAGAGAGAGACAGCTCAATCGAGACTGGAGCCTTTGCTGCTGCTGCTGCTGCTGCTGCTGCTGCTGTTGCTGCTGCTGCTGCTGTTGTTGCTGCTGCTGCTGCATAGAAGGCCTTTCAATCCACCGAACCCCAAATGAAAAAAGAAGAAAAAGGTATAGGTAGATGCAAGAAATGCTGCAGAGAGCAGCAGCAGCAGCAGCAGCAGCCAGGCTACAGCAGCAGCAGCAGCAGCAGCAGCAGCAGCAGCAGCAGCAGCAGCGAGCGTCGGTCCGGCCCGCCCACGTCGGCAGCGAGACTGCCGCTGCTATTGAGCTTTTATTTTATTTATTTTTTTATTTATTTTATTTTTTATTATTTTAATTTTTATAAT